GCTGAAGTATTTTAAACAAACAAGCTGATCTCTTCCCTACAACATCAGAAAAGACGACTGAGAAAAGGACCCTTTGACTGCTTCCACATTTCCTTCCCTTAGGCGGTTTTGCGAATAATATTGGTGAAATCCTGACCCCATTGAAGTCGGTAGCAAAATTCCTACTGAATTTAACAGGGCCAGAATTTTACAACTTTTGTTCGTGATTAAAATTCCTTTTTGCTGGACATTAAACCTTTTCAGATGAAGGCAAGGCGCGCTGCTCAGCTATGCCCCCAAACATCTCATGTTTATCCATAAGGCACCGTATTAATTTTCCTCGTATGAAAGTAACCAGATAAGAAAAGTCCTATTAGTATCCCTCATATGAGTTAATAGCCACAAATAATGTTTCTTTATAAAAATAATAGGATTTATCCAAAACAAAGGTAGTGGAAAATAAAGGGCTCTGGTATTACAGAAAGGATACCAACACAAAAAGCCCATCGCCCACAGAAAGGGCGCAGCTGAACGACAGATAAATTGTGATTGCTTTTCCCTCCCGCCGGCGAGACGGAGCAAGCCGAGGGAAGCCCCAGCCAGGAACGCCCGGCGCTGTACGGCCGCGACGGCGCTCCGGCGGCTGGAGCACTGCTCCCAGGAAAAGGAGGTGGCGAGGAGCAGACCCGCAACCGCCCATCCTTCCGTGCAGGTGCTCGCCAAGGACGCTTCGCCTTCCTTCCAGCGGGAAATATTTTAACGCTTTGTGGCGAGGCCGGAGAGCGCGAACCCAGCGAGGGATCGCGGAAGGCGGTGAAATATGGGTATTGATTTCCCAGGGACTCCCGCGCCGGCGTGAACTGCTAAGCGGGAGGCGAGCGTGCCTGTTCAAACCCCCGCCCCGCCGGGCGCTGCCGCCACGTGCCGCCGCCGAGAGCCCGGTCCGTTTGTTGACTGGCGTGATTTAAGGATGCTGATTAGGGACACGTATATAGTAATGTCTCCCTGTTATCCATCTATCCATCTATTACATATGATAAAAGGACCAGGGACGATAATAATAGTACAAGTGACAGGTCTCACCATGAAATTAAATCTACTGTATTTTATCTCAGTTTCCAAATGGACATTTTAACAGTCCAATAACTGCGAGAAAATCTGCATCAATTTTAAGTGCCCGTCTCCAGCGCAGGCTCAGCAGCCGGGCCCTCCTGTTGGAAAGATCACTGCTCGTGCTTCATCATTACGGCTCCAACTACTCCATTTCAAAAGAGTCCCCTTCCTTTTTTAGTATGTAAAAACTTAACATTTAATCTGCTTCTACTAGGAAACTGCGAGAAAGGACCCACAAAGGTCAGCGTTCCCTGCTTAAAGAATTTGAAGCGAGTTAAATTTCTTTAGGCTTTTCAGCGTAGGTAGCAACTAGGAATAAACACAGAAGAGGACGAGCAAAGGAGGGGGGGCTTTAACAGGCTTGACAAATGACACTGTGATTCACACCCACTGCTGGGCTGCCACTAATAAGCTACAGAGGAAGCAGCCAATCTCAGCTAATTACCAGATAAAATTGTATTGTAAGGACTCTAATTAGGAGATGCTTATGGAGGTGATCTAATGATTAAACGCTGCATCCGAGTGACCCCACCATCAATGTGCAGTGGTGCAAGATGTCACCGGAATATTTTGTAGAAACAGTAATTTTATTTCAAGGAGGGGAGGCAGTAATATTTGTAATAATGGCTATGAGGTAAACTAATTAAAAGACAGTTCCTAAAGGAAGACTGTGGCTTTGAGCAGCTGTGGCCGTTCCAAAACAAAGTGCCAAATCTCAACAGAGGAGCTGCAGTCAAGTGGAAAATTTCTGCCTGACCTCTGCTCTCGCTATTAATTTGCAGGAAAACTAATGACACATATACATATTCCCACAAAATTGTTCTAATTGCTAATTTGCCAAAGGAGCCCAGTTTCCAAATTAAACATGACTGCAGTCTGTGAGGAAAGAGAGAACAAAAAGCTGGAACGCAGCGAGTCTGCTGCGTTTCACCTCCGACGACCATTTGCGAGCCTGAACCAACAAGTTAATGAAACACGACCTTGTCGATCGCTGGCGAAGTTTTTTCCTTTTTCCGTGTTTTATTTGATGACACTCTCTCCTCTTCCAGCCAGGGTCCGATCCCTGCTGATGCCGTTACCAAACCATAAGGCAGGGGGTACGGGAGGAGAGGGCTGCGCCCCCTCCGCAGACCTTCGCCGCCGCTTTCTTTGTTGCATCTCCAGCGCCAAGGCTGAAAAATCAGTTGTGAATTAGAGCAGAATAACAAATTATGAATGGTGTTGGTTTTGTTGCCATCCTGAAATATTAATCCGGATGGTAAACTATTAAATCTTAATACTGGCGTCAATTAGAAACGTGGAAGCGGCCGTGGATGATTGTGCAGGGCAAAGATCAGGGAGGGACCGGGCTGGGAGGGTTTCTTTTCCTGATGGAAACTCCACACGGTTTCTCCCTGTCTGCATTTTCTATTTAAAAATAAGTTACTATGATTAGAAAAGTTGTTCGCGTTGGTATTGTGCAAACAAGCCCGTTTCCCACAGACCGTAATTTTTGGACGAGGTATCATCGCTGTCAGAGGGGAGGGAGCCTAAGTCACGGCGTCAGCACCGTAACGAGCAAGAACTCTTGCTCTGCAGCAAGGCACAACTCCAAGTACGCCGAACATACAGCCCTTGCACCAAAGAGTTAAACGTTTTTGTAATGTTTGTACTGGGGATGGGGGGAGGGAGGATTTCCTCCAGCCTTATAAAAAAAAAAAAACCAAAAAAAACCAAAACCCAAAACCCAACCAACACAAAACACCAAAAACAAGAAGGGGGAAAAAAAAACAACAGAAAAACCACCAAACCCCACAAGTTTTAAGTCCCAACATTCTGTAAGTTCAGCCATTGAACCTTGTTGGGTGCTTTGTTCAGTTTTGGTTTCTGAGAACGTTTCCTCGTACTGTTTTAACTTAATCATAAATGCCATAATTGTTTCAGCGTTCAATATCCTGCTTAGGATTTTATTATTAACCTTCCCTTTCAAGAAACAGTCATGTCTTCCTATTAAAGGTGAAGACTGAGTCATTTTCTTTTTTTTTTTTTCTTTAGATATAAACAAGGTAGAGACGTAGCCCTCTCCTTCACCCCATAAAATAGATTTCCAGTAAGTGGCTCTCCCACTAGGGCTAAGTCTGATTTCTTTTTGTGTAAACATTTTACATGACAATAGTGCCTGCACTTAAAAAAGCCCCTGAAACTCTTTTAAAAGAAAAAAAAGAAAAATTATATATATATATATATATATTTCTAAGTGTCATGGTGGGGCCATACCCACTGCTGCGGGGCAGTGACTCCTCTGTGACGGAGGTCCCAATTCCTCTGGTCCCAACTGGGGCTGAGGATTTATCCGCACCCAGTTCCTGGGACTGAAACGCTCTGGAGCAGACTCCTTTTCCTGACGCCGAGGGTGAGAGCGAAAGCCAACGCTGGGCCTAAAACTTTGTTAAATGCTGTGTCTTCCTCTCCCGCTTCAGCCTGGACACATTAGTGTGTTAGATGCAGAGCCTGGCGGGCAGCGATCACTTAGCAGGTGTTGTTATTGGCAGGAATACTAAGGAAACCGAAGCTGAGGAGTGAGACTTAATGAAAACCAGTATATAAAAACAGCTTTTGTTGTGCTTGAGAATCTCTCTTTATTGCTGCGTATCGTTATTTTTTCAAACTATAAAGTACGGCTACAGCAGCTAAAATGCTCAGTCATTACCTCAACAGTTAAAAGACTATTTCTTTTTTTTTTAAATGCTTTGTTATTACAGTTGCTAAAAACAGTATTTCAAAACAATCGTAACTGCTATGGTTAGGGTAAAAAAAATACATTAAAGAAGGGATATCTAACAGGGCATTTTATTTAAAGTGCCAAAAGTTTCTTTACAAGTTTTCTGGCTATTTTTAAAAGGTGGCTATAGCACCCAGTACACAGAATTACTTGTTGGTTGATGCTTTTTCCTTCTCCTTCCCTTCCTATGAACTTCAACATAAGTTAATCCCCCAAAAGAAAGCGCGTTTTCATTTCAACCTGTTACGCTGATCACTACACCAATGAAAATACCATGTAGGGGAAGGTGTCTGAATAGCAAATCCAGAATGAAAATTCTTGAGGAATTGTTCCGGCTTTTGTGTTGTGGGGTTTATTGGTTGGGTTGGGGTTTTTGACCTTGAAAAAAATTCACCTTACAAAAGTATGGCACAGCGTATTCCTTCACAGCCTTGTTCTCCCTTTCCTCGGCCTTCAGTCTCACCAAACCAAGACATGTAGCAGTAACAGGAACAACTCTGCGTGCTCCAAACCTTAAGCTGTGAGATGCTTCGGTTCTCTTTTAAAGCGCTGCACCACTGGGCATTTTAATGATAAAAGTTGGACATTCTGAAGAAGACATTTAGCACTGCCCCAGCTCACGACGTGCTCTCCTTCCCCAGCCCCCTCCTGCCTGCTCAGCAGCTCCCTGGGAGCGGGGGAAGAGCTGCCCTTTGCAGTACAACCAGACATCAACAGCGACCTCCCCACGCACGTACCTATCCACCGACCGTTTAGGCCATCCACCACTACACTACGGAAGAACGTGTTTAAATCTCATCAGCTTTAATAGGACCAAAGAGCTTCGGCAAAGAGATGCCTTGGTGGACTGGTGTAGTGAAACGCATGGGCCTCTCCACCGCCCTTCCTAAGGTCAAAATTACTGCAAGGAAGGTGGGGATGTAATGGATGGACATGGCTAGACTGGACAAGCAATCCTTCCCCGAACCTGGGCGAGTTCTGAATCGATGCACAACAACCAAGAACCTGGCTGTGGTCCAACTGGTCCAAAACCACCCCCTCAAGCTGCTGCCTGGAACCCAAAAGCGAAGACGGTACCAATGGTCAATGTGGATTACCAACGGCACGTGGTTAATGCTCAGTCACCAATTCTACTTGCCAGTAACAAAACAGTTTAAAAACAAGCATTAAGATCCTTTAAGCAGAATAAAACCATTCCTCAGTCATGAAAAGGCTGTAATTTTAAATCCCAATTCACTGCTATGTTTGGATTCGCAGCCGCTCTTTCCTTTAGAATCACCGATGTACCGTAATATATTAATTCTAACATACACCTTGCATTAGTTATGTTGGCAAAAAAAAAAAATTAATTACTGGATGTAAAGAATACTTTGCACTGCAATAATGGTCATCAGATCTTTTTACCAAAGTCCTATCCCACTGAGTTAAAAGGACCGGGGTCTAGCACAGTCTATGCAGTGCCTGTGTATTTTTTTCACTAGGAAAGCACAATTTATGCAAAACACTATACTTCTACATTTTATAATTAATTTTCAAATGCTTCACCTATACATATTTTAATAATTTCTGATTTATCAGATGGTATCTATAATAAATTTTTCTATATTTCAATAAATGAAAAGAAGGCAGTTTCAATCCAACAACAGAGTGGCACACAATATAGGCCTGTCAGGCACCAATTTTTACTTCTAACATGTAAGTTAAAGGATAAGGAATTTATAATGCTGCCTGTGAACGAAACCACTTTTCATACACAAATGTGATCTTTTTTTTTCCAAAGGGTAATACAACAGTACATTTACATAAACTAATCCAAACAATCTATGTATTTGACAATGGCAAACCTCACACAGACTGCCTATTGTTGGTTTACATCTTGGAGTTCTTTATGTTGGCTTGTAACACTGCTCTAGCTGTCAAAGGTTTGACTTGGACTCTAAATAAATGGTTATAGAAGTGCTGTGCAGCGATATTGGACTTCTTTGCAAAAGAAAACCTGCTGTGTATGAATTCAAAAGCTATTAATTTTTCAGTCAAAAATATTCATGCCTATTTCTTTTAATAAAGAAACACTGTGCTGAGCAACTGAGAGATAATGTTGACTAGTGGTACAGAATTTTCAATAGAGCAGTTAAAAATAAATTTAGTAGGAGGTCCCCAACAAAGCTATAATTTTCCAGAATGTAAAACATTTTTAATACTAATCAAGACAGCCCCTTTCCCCCTGCGTTCACCTTTTTTTTTTTTTTTTCCCCCCACTGCTTTTCCCTCTTTATTAGCTGTTAACACTAATCTTCATGGCGACACCGCCTGGTATCTCCGTAGCCTACAACACCCGCAAAAGCTTCCTGCCCTCCGCGGCTGAGCATTGATCACGAGCTGCCTTGCCAAACGCCGCTCGCCTTCTTATGATTTCCTCCCTTTAGTTTTTAATCCTTCCTCCTGAGGGGCACCGCTGTTATGAAAGGCCTCGAGGCAGAGTGCTTTGAGACTCCCAGATTATTCCGCTGTTTTAATTTTTAATCCAGTAAGAGCTATAGAAACCAAACCTCCTCCCCATTCTGTTGGGTCTACATACTTTGCCAACAATGCGCTGAAGCATTTGCATTCAGGCTGAGATGGATGCGAGGAACTAGAAGAATGCTGTTTTTATAGACACTGTAAGTAGTTCTTACTCTAGAGGGCTGGTATCCACTGGATCAAGCAATTTTCGGCATCTCAACAGCTTAAATGGAAGGGTTTATACCTACCACTCAACTCTCTCCAAGAAGGCACCGAAATTTCCCGTTGACTTTGACATCTGCTCCAGTGTTGCTGAATAGCCTGCAATTTTCTATCTAGTAGCCTCCCTATGCACTTCTGCAGCCATTTATTTCCAACTACATGGAAACTGAGAAATCCTTTTCTAGTAAAAATGGGTGCGCGAAGTGTTTAATGATTTTATGTTCTCTATCTCTGTAATGTGTTCTGTTTCAGACATTAATTTTGTCTACCAACTGCATCTTGGCAGGCTACCATATTTGCTGGGTTAATAGTCTGACTCCTTTTTATTTCTATCACCATAAATCACACATATATGGGTGTGTGTTTGCTTTATTTATAGAAAAAAAATCAGTCAAAACAGATAAACCAATACTTTGTCATTATGCTGCATCATTGCATATTGATTAAAATTGCTAGTACTAACTATAGATTGTCAACGCTCAATTAATTTTCACACAATGACTCAAAGCAAAATGAAATAAAGCCAGTGTACCTTTAAATCTTACAAATCTTAAAATCAAGAAGCAAAGCACTCTCTCCATTTTGAATAATCATTGGAAGCTCTGAGGAACATTTTCAGCATTAAGAGGTTGGGAAAAAACAAGAGCTGAAGAAGAGTCATTTTGGTCAGGGAATGAGATGGAAGATTTGCCTGGGTTTGGGGGTACCCAGGAGTTGCCTTGGCCTGCAACAAAGCCACTTGCTTCCCCTGCACCCCTTTTTTTAAAGGGCAATCTGGGGCAGAGAAAGTTTCCCTTCTCAGTTTCAGCAGTCTAAAACCTGATACCGGGTAACCGCGATTATCATCAAAACGTGCAGCTAGAGCCTCTTCTACTGTAAATGTCTGTCTGACAGGGCGAAAGCAAAATAAATACATTAAATATAATTTAATTACATCTCCTTCCTAACACTTCCTAAGATTACATGCAGGTTGGACTGACGCAAAGCGACTTACAGGCTAATACATGAGGCCAGAAGGCGGCCCAATGCATCAGCTTTAGAGCAAAACTTCTTCCAAGCTCCCTGAAGAGAAGGGGATGACAGAACCCGGGTGCCCACGGCGGTGCCTCCTGCAAAGCGGCGCTTTGCATCTCCTCACCGCGACCGGCTCCAAAGCGGGCCACGCTTTGCGTCACGCGCTCCGGTGGGGCACAGGAAAGAGAGGTTTGTTGTGAGGTTTTGTTTGCTTTTGGCACATTTCGGTACTTACGGGCTGAGGGGTGGCTTTTGGTTCGGTTGACTTCACATGCAGGTGTGTCATCATGGCTTGCAGGCGCTCTTTATCTTTTGCAAGCTGAAAGGGGGGGGGAAAAAAAAAAAAAAAAAATCCTCTGTTACTCGCACGAATAAAACCCAGCCTCTGCTTATTCCTAATTAAACAGCTGGCACCGAGGCATGAGACAGAAGAGTTTTATTGCTGAGTAGTTTGGAAATTGTATATGGTCTATTCGTGAGGTAAAGCTAACGCGTGGTGCTGGGTGTCACTATTTCCCAAAGCAAAAATGCATTAGCCCTCGAGTGAGAAGAGCTAGACCTGCCGGCACCAAGAGCTTCACTCTAGCCCTGACAGCTAAAAGACAACAGTGAATCATGTTTATTAACCAGCCCCACTCCAGCGCAGGAGGCGCAGCAGAAAGCAAGCAGGGCAGCGGCTCCGAGGCGCGTTTGCCTCCTTTCAGACCAGAAAACAAGCGGCACAAATGGACCGTGGCTTTTACGTCACGTAGAGGCTTTGCGGCATGTGCCGAGCGAGCGCAGAGACAGCGGTGGTTAAACCACACGAGGCACCTCCGCGGGGCACGGCGGGCAGCCTCGGCTCTAGAAAACGCCCTGCTTTTGCTCGAGAAGGTGGCACGGCCCCTCGGTGGGACACCCTGGGCAGCCTGAGGTTCCCAGGAACCTGAGCAGGGGCACCCTGGGCATGGGGCAGGAGCAGCACCGTGGATGCCAGCGTCCCTCTGGCAAACGCCCAAGGGCAGCAGGGTGGGGAAAGGCTAACGGCGGCGTCAGGAACCGCCCCAGAGCCCTCATCTCAGAGCACACAACCCCACAGGACCGATGCTTTCACCCCTTCTCATCGGTCACATCATGCCCAAGAGTTGGGGCAGAGCTCCTGCTCTGGATGTCTCTTGCATTTTTGGGCTGAGATCCGCACCAGGCCACAGCTGGCGTCTCAGCATCACGCCGTACGCATCCTTGGCCAGGACGGCTTCCCAATGCGTTTCAATGCACTGGACAGACACTAAATCTCATTATTTTTGGAAACAAAAAATGTTTTGTATGTGCGAATAGGACCTTTTCCAGCTGCTCTTCAAAAAAAAAAAAAAATTACAGTGGAAAGATATTAAGAAATAATACTAATGAAAAAGGGGTGGTTTTAACCTCCATGCCCAACATAAAGGCTCCTCTTTCCAGCAGGACTTGGATCGGGTTCTTACAAATGACAATTTTTGCAGAGCTGAGTTTTTGCTTTAGACAAGCCAGATTCCTGGTGCCAAGAGGAGAACTGTGCTCACATTCCAGCAAAACTTTAAACAACCTGCCCACCTTATCACCGTCATCTGTTTGTAGCTGTAAAGTTGGGCTAAGTGTATATAAAAGGAGACTTGGTCATAAATCCCCATTCGTAACCTTACAGTCAAGGTTGTCTTGCTCTTCGCAAGGCGAGGGGTTTCTGACCATGCCAGAAAGGCGTCATGATGGGATAAAACTTGGCACAGGGGTTTCCAAGACAGGAATTAAATAAAGGAAAAAATGGTGTCACCACTGTGTGCTCTGGAAGTGCAAAAGCAAAACTCGCTGGACTTTTCAAACAGCTGCTCTTTTCTTGGTCAAAAAAATCTCAATGGCAAGAGAGAAAAGCTGACACCTCCAGCAGATCTCCTGCGATCTCATCACCAGATCTGTGCCGGACTTCACAGGAGAGCCGACGGGCAGCAACAGGCTCTTATCGTAGCGCCGCAGCAGAAGCCTCTCCCTCCGAGAGTCCCCCAAGGACCTCTTCAGAGGCAGGAGAGGTCTCACCCCTCAGCCGCCGTGCTTCGCCCAAAACAGATTGAAACCGAGAAACAGTTGTACTCTCGGTTCAGCTCTGTTGTGCAATCTCTCATTCGTAGCAGTCACTGGGCACAGGGGCTGCTTGGCGGGGTCATCCGTGCATTAAATTTTGGTCTGCAGGCTACTGCAGGAGAACGATGTCTTCTAGCCAAAACAAACAAAAGGCAGGCACCTGAAAGCTTCCTGCCCGCACCAGCGCGGCGGCAGGAGGGAAAGGCACCCGGGTAGCACGGGGCACACCCTGCAGCGCTTCCTCCGGGCCCCCTCGGCGAGGCGGAGCAGTGCACCTCCCTCCGAACGGCCGGGGTCCTTGTTTGTAGTGTTTTCACTCATCATCTTAGCAATGCTTTTAACGCCGTTTCTGGTGGATGGAGGTTATTAAAGATCCTCTCGACATTTCAGGCAGACACACGCTAGCATTTTGTCATAGTCTAGGAATTCAAACACTCACCCAGTTAGGCAGGAGTTTAAATTATGAAAAATAGAGGTCTCTCAGTTTCAAAGCACTGAGAAGTAAAAAAATCTGAAGAATTTCTTTAAACTGTTTTTCCCTTAGGTCAGGAAGCAGTAGTGATATAAAACTAGAATGTCACTAGTAGCCCCTCCAGTCAGTGGGGTCATGCAAAAGAAGCCATGAGGGCTTGCTTGGACATCGACGGGAGCAAATTCTCTCCGGTGGCACTCACTGGAGTGCAGATGGTCCGCAAATAGGGGTTATGACGTGCAGGAGAACGTTCTTGATCTACTGATAGTGTTCTTGGGCAAGGATCGTTTCTTCACGTAGGCAAGGACCTGCTCGCTCCTGCAGGGGGGTTGGACTAGATGACCTCTAGGGGTCCCTTCCAACCCAAAACATTCTATGATTCTATGATTCTGTACAGGGGGGGTGAGGACTGTAATACAGTCCCATCTGAAGCCTCGTTCTTTTTGCCTATATCCATTTGGAAAGCTCTGCGTGGTGGGAGTTTTCAGATGGCCACCCAGTCCTTCATGATAAGCCTGATTTTGTGAGGTTCCCTCACCTCTGTGGGGTACAACCATGGTGTAGGTGCCTAACTGG